GGAGAAAGCCATCGAGGAGTACCCGGACACCTGCGCGGTGCTGGTGCGAAGGCACGGAGTGTAAGTCGCCATCTTTTTGGCAAGCGGGGGGACCCATCTAACAATGCAGCAGCTACGTCTGGGGCGATACGGTGTGGAAAGCGAAGACACAGGCTGAAAGCCTGGACTACCTTTTTGAGTTGGGCGTCAAGATGGTGCAGTTGGGGCTTGATCCAGCGGGAGCGATTGCTCCTGTAGAATAAACAGATACTGGGTGGATGGTGGTTCTAGCTTGTGGCAGCGTTGCTGGATGGTGCCGGACGGTACCTTTCTTCTCCGCGACCGTAATTCTTATTCTACCTGAAGTACCATGTATGATGGAGTTTGGGGGTTTTGTACGGTTACCATGCACATTAAAAAAGCTTTTGTCTTTCTTTGCATAATGGGGCTCTCCCGAGGCACCGAGCCCATTCCATGAGCCACATTCAGTAGAATCTCGAGTGATATTTCGTGGTCGCAACGTCACACAACTGTGTCACCTAGTCTATGCGAGCTCGACAAATTTGCATGGATCATGGTCGCGTCGCGTTTTCCCTTGAAACTCTACTTCCATTTTACGCCTCACCAACGCCCACCTTAAAAACTACCATGGACAGTGACGAAGACTTCGGCAGCGATATCGACGATTCCGAATTTATAGCCGCCGCCACACAAGCCGAACAAGAGTTCAGTTCCAATGCGAACCGCACCATAAGCAATGGGGGCGACCTCCTGCCACCCGATGACTTCATCGACGACGCCGATATCGAGATGAACGACTTCATGTCGTTCTCGCAAGCTCCCATACCTCCACGAGGAAACCTACGACAAACAACACTTTTCGGGGCCTCGGTGGTGGAGGCGAGTTCACCCCAGCAGCAGAAGCAGAAGCAGAAGCAGCAGCAGCAGCAGCAGCGACCGAGAGCGAATTGGCCACTGTCAAATCAGGAAGAAAAGCCCACACACCACAAGATCGACCGCGAAGCTGCAAAGACGTGGATCTACCCAATCAATGTTTCGTACCGCGACTACCAGTACAATATAGTGCGCCGTGCACTGCTATCAAATGTACTATGTGCTCTCCCCACAGGTGTGTACGGACGCGCGGTGCCTTCTCCGTTGAAGGCCTCCCACTGAATTATGTGCTGCGTAGGTCTGGGTAAGACATTCATCGCGGCCACGGTCATGCTCAATTGGTTCCGATGGGCCCCCGAAGGACAAATTGCCTTCCTGGCGCCCACCAAACCACTCGTTCACCAACAGATCGAGGCTTGCTTCACTATCGCCGGAATACCACGGAGTCAAACAGCAACGATGACGGGCGGTGTGCCGAAAGCGCTACGGCAAGAATACTGGGAGGAACGGAGGGTATTCTTTACGACACCACAGACGATGCAGAATGATATTAAGAACGGACTTTGCGATCCGAAAAGAATCATATGTCTGGTGGTTGACGAGGCTCATCGGACCACTGGTGCGTACGCGTACGGAGAAGTCGTGAAGCTCGTACGGAGGGAAAATACCAGCTTCCGTTTGCTTGCCCTTACAGCGACGCCTGGCTCCACCGTGGAGGCTGTCCAGGGTGTCATCGACGGTTTGGGTATATCCAGGGTAGAAATCCGGACCGATGAATCCCTCGATATCCGGCAGTATATCCAAAGGCGGAACCTTGAGGTTCAGACATTCTCCATGCCACCGGAAATGGTCGAGCTGAGGGACTTGTACTGCAAATGTTTGGAGCCGCAATTGAAAAAGCTGAACGCTGGTAAAGCATTTTATCAAACCAGAGCCGAAAACCTCACGCCCTTCGGTGTAATATCAGCGATGGGAGAATGGAGGAATTCTGCACAGGCTCGGAACATGAACAAGGGCTACTTCTTCGGTTTGATGAAGCTCTTCAAGAATCTGGCCAGTCTTGCGCATCCACTCGGTCTCTTGGAGACGCACGGCGTTCGCCTTTTCTACGACAAGCTGATCAATGCGCGGGAAGATGAGACCGACGAAGAAGTGACCAAGTCTGCTGTGAACTCGATCCGCAAGGAAAAACCCTTCACACAGGTTCTTGAGCGAGCAGCACAAATCGTAGCCGATCCCAACTTTTCCGGTCATCCAAAGGTCGACTTCATGGTCAATGCGATTCTGAAGCATTTCTCTGAAGCCGAAGATGAAGATACAAAAAGAGAGACCAGAATCATGGTGTTTACGAGTTTCAGAGATAGCGCAGAAGAGGTGACGCGAATGCTCCGGAGACACGAACCCTTAATCCGCCCGCATGTTTTTGTGGGGCAGGCCAATTCTGGGAAGAATTCGGCTGGTATGTCACAGAAACAACAGCTTGATGTATACTGTCTGGTCCTAAGACTGCCACTTTTGCTGACGACTGCTCCTAGATCATCTCCAAGTTCTCTGACGGAACATACAATACTCTAGTCTCGACTAGTATTGGAGAGGAAGGACTGGATATTGGAGAGGTTGACTTGATTGTGTGCTACGACACTTCAGCATCACCCATCCGACTTGTAAGCCCCATTTCTATGTTGACGATGGACATTGCTGATTACTCTTCCAGTTGCAACGTATGGGCCGAACAGGTCGTAAACGGGTAGGCTCCGTTCTGGTTCTTCTCAGTGAAGGACGCGAACACGACAAATACAAAAGAGCTCTGGACAACTACGCAGTGATGCAAAAGAAGATTGCGTCAGGAGCCGACTTTTCGTTCCCCCACGAGCTGTCTCCTCGCATCATCCCGAAAGATATCGACCCTCAACCAGACAAAAAACACATCGAAATACCAGTCGAAAACACGCAACCGGAACCAGACAAACGGAAACCCAGGACAAAAAAGAAGGCGCCAATCAAAAAGTTCTTCATGCCCGAAGGTGTCCAGACTGGCTTTACCAAAGCGTCGCGGATAGGAAAGGAGCATGTTCTGTCCACCGATTCGTCCGGTGGTGAATCGGAAAACGCAGCCCGGGCAAGCGGAGCTCCGGGTGGGACGAACGAAGAGCCATTAGCCCCTTTACTCGACGATTACGCTGCTCTACTCACAGAGGCAGAACAGCTGGAGCTGCACCGACACTATATCCAGGATTTCTCGGGTCAGGATACCGTGATCGTCGAGCACCCGCGTCTAGACAAATTCCCAGAAACACAGAGAAACCTGGGGCCGATAAAACATGTGCCCCATAGTGTGGTCACAAAACGCTTTGTTAATATGATTGGTTGCATGCGAGCAATCGACGACGCCAGACTGGAGCGTTTCCAGAGTACCCTCGACCGGGATCTCCTCAAGAGCCCCAAGAAAACGTTGGCGTTCAAGCCCGTAAGACCAGCGGCAAAACCCCCGGCAAAACCCCTACTGGCCCAACGAAAACTACCTGTTAAGTTGAAGGAGAAGAGGGGGGCACGGAATGACACTGACGATGGCGACGACGATGATGTGGAAATTATATCACCACCACCACCGCCACCAAAAGCTCGCACACGAGGCAAGCTGGTGAAGCTGGCAGCTCCTCCCCTCGTATCGAGTGGCGACGACGAGGACGTTGTCGTGACGTCGAAACGGAAACGGCAGAAGGTTTCCACTGCCGGCTCGGACTCGGACTCGAGTCTTCCCGACGCTGCAGACTTGCTGAATAGTTTTCGGTGGGCTGGGAGCGGACAGAAGACGATGTAGCTTGGAGAGCGGAGAGCGTGGGGCGGGCAGATCCAGGTGTCCGTTTGGCTAGAGATGTAATCTTGTCTATCATACAACGAGGTGTTGGCGTGGTTCATTCTCTTATAAGTTTTGGCAGGAATGGGCTTCCTTTGCTTTGCTCCTCTGGGGTTAATGTATAAGTATAATAGCAAAAAATGGGGTGCGATTGCTACCAGCGGAGAACGTATATCAGTGTGAATACCGGGTTAACATGGTAATTCGGCAGAGAATAAGTAGGCCTACTGGAGCAAACGTCTACGACATCGGGTTAACCGTTAACACGAGCTTTTGGTGTATACCTATTGGATTACTCTGGCAGCAGTCGGATGCTGCGTTTTGTTACAGAACCTACACACTTGAATGAGACTATATAAGCACATAATTACTTAGACTATGCTATTATACACAACATCTCGAATGATGTTATCGTGGTCAGTGTGAAGCAGACGGATATCGAGAGAGTGTGCGTGTGTATGCAGGTTATCCGATGACTTCACGTTGGTCGTTATGTGCTTTTCAGTGCATATCCGGACATGAATCGGAGAGCCAGAGATGCCGCCCTAAAATCTGGAGAGAACTTCCTTCCCTTCACGATCTGTACACTGCCCGAATCCAGCTTCCATCCGACATTTCAATTCTGCAGGCGTTCCGGACCATACGGGCACGACAGAACTCATTGTTAGGCGAGCAGCGGGCATTGTAATATATGTACTACTTATAGTAATAGTTAGTCCGTTGCTCTCAATAGAATACCTACCATTGTGGGGTTGGGTCGTCTCAGCTCGCAGCGCAATCTGTAGTTATTTACATACCGGTACATATACTCTGCATAGTGTAGCGCCAACCAAAGAACCGCCTGTGCAGATCAACCACATGGAACTCCCCAAAAGCGCACGATTACATAACCTCCTCACCGTCGATTATGTACTCTATGTATGCACTCTGGCGACGTCAACACTAACTAACGACGAACTCTAGGTCGTCCGCCTGCCTGCCTGCGCTGCCGACGTTCTAAAGCCGAAGAACGACCTCCCCACAACCCATACGAACCACGCGCAGATCCCCCGGACTCGGGCTGAAGCACAAACAGGGTTGATGATTCGCTGTAACGGCGCCTGTGATTCCTGTTCCCCCATCCCCTCCCATCCTTCAATCACCAGCGCCGCCAACACAGCATCGGTTGTTGTCCCGTGAGACGGTGCTTGCTTGAATTGACGACAGCGATAACTACCTCGCACACTACACTACACACCGCTCGAAACCGGCTCTCCTAGATACATCCAAGATGCGCCACGACCCCCGCATCCGCCAAAACATCGACCATTTCTCGACCTCGCTTGAGTCCGCCGTCGAAAATGCGCGCACCGGCTGCTTCACCTTCACCAAGTCATACCTCGAGCCTTGTTTCTCCTCCCTGATAGATTGCTGTACCACCTGCGTTCCGCAAGCAAAAACCCACCATCACCACCACCACCACCATCACCACCGCCACCGCGCGCCGCAGCGCAGCGAGTTTCCATTCGCATTCTACGACTATGACGACTACGACAGCGACTCCGATGAGCGTGCGTCGCGCGGGTTCCTAGCATGGGGGACCGACGAGCTTGACCGCCTGCTGGCTGGGAGCGGGAGTCAATCGCCGACGACGAGGAACGAGAGGATGTTCTACGGCGCTGTGAACGATGCGTCCGGTCCTAGCGGCCTGCTGAGGAAGAGCACGCACCCCGGCGGTGTGGGCCCGGACCCGACGGTGATTCCTGGGACCAACATGTTTGGGTTTCTTTCCTCGTTTGGGTTCCGCGGCAAGGGAATGCGGTATAAGCCGTCGGCGGCGAATCTGCAGGAGCATCCGCAGCGCAGCACGGCGGATATGACCTATACGCGCGGCCATGGGAGACAGAGGAGTGGGACGGAGTCGAGTTTGGCGAGTCAGGGCGATAGTTTGAGGAGTCGCATGGATCTGTGGCCGAGTGAGGATGAGGACGATGCCGTCGTTATCGGCGATGATGCGTTTCCGAGGAGTAGCGATGGGGAGAGTACGCATGCTATGGGATTGGGCATTGGCACCGACGACGATGACGGTGTGAGGTATGAAGATCTACTGATAGATGACGGGGATGCACGGCGGCGGATGTGGAGACACGCGAAACGACTCACCATGCAACGGGGGCTGAGTTCAGATAGCATGGTACGTTCACCGTCTTCCCATCCTCCAATATATCTTCCAACAACTAACCATCCACAGGAAGAAAGCAAAGCCAGAAGCACCTATAACCAAGGCTCCAGCAGTGCGCCACCCACAATACTAGCCACCAGTCCTCCCGGCAGCATCAGATCCTATGAAGCCATGAGCATCCAACAGCGATCGTTATCGCCACTGAGTGCGGGGGCACTGCGAAAAGAAATGGATAACGAGACGCCCAGGGCGCACCTGCAGATGAGGCAGGTATCAGCACCTTCACCCATCCATACCCCGTCGTCACCACGACCTCCATCGGAATGTGCCAGTGATTCCACGCCGAGGGCTTCTGCGTCGGGGATCTTGATGGTTCCGCCGTCGCCGTCATTTTCACAAGCGGATCCTGATGACGAATAGGATATGGCAAGTGTTGAGTAAAGTTTTCTTTTCTTTTTGTTTTCTTTTCGGGAATTTGTGGCGTAACGCATCTCGTTTTTGTTTGTGTTGATATGGTTGGATGGGAGTTGGATGGGGTATTTGCTTTGCTTTGCTTTCGTGGTATTGATATAAAAGTGGGTTTACCAGATCAGGTAATGGGTGGGCAGGGACGGAGTGTAAATTGGGTTATTGGGAGGGTATCCGGTCACAAATGCGATGGTCCTCTCACTTATGTGCGAATTTGAAGTGATCGGTAATGCGAGTGATAGATGCTGAATTCTCAACCAGAACCCTAGTTCCCGTCTTGGATGCAGCTGCTCTATTCGCGCTCGGTTCATGGTTAAGACGGCTCGTCCTCGGCGTGGGTAGATCCACCCAACATAAAGAGAACCTTCTACGTGAACAACTTTGACATCAAAGAAGTAGAGTGATTGTGCGACGATTCGCACTAACCACCTAACTAATTCTGGTGGGGCACAACCAAATGTCGAACCAGGATCTGTGATCGCATGTATCTAGGTGACACGTGACACGTGACGGACGCGTCGCCAAGAACGACTTAGAGCCTTGGCTTTTGTGCCTTCACGTTGTCCTGGAAAGCGCCTGTCAAAACAAAAAGCAGCAATCCACAACGTCCACGCCCTCCATGGCCTCAGCAGACACCACCACGCACATGTCGACCAACTCACTCTTCAGCTCGCTGCTCGAGCAGTCGCGGAAGCTGCGCCAGGAAACCGACAACGCCGACCTCCCGTCCATCCAGCTCGGCCTGGGAGAGATTGAGCGACGCGCCAAAGAGCTAAAGAAAACTGTCCCCGGACGAACCGATGCGAGAGCGTATGTTTGATACCCTTCGGAGAAGGGAATGCGAGGTGTACTGATGGGGGATCATCGCGCAGACGCTACCTGCTCCGCGCCGGAGGCATCGATGCCGATCAGAACTTGAGGGATCTGGAGTCAATCGATTTCCAAACAGCTTACGAGCCGTCGGGACCGATCGACACCGACGTCGAGGTGAGCTTCATCCTCCAGCTGCCTGTCCGGCCATGTGTTTGTTTTTCTTGCTGACCCCGGATACACGTGAAATAGTCGTACCTCCGCAACCGACGAGACCAGAGCGTCGAATCATCGATCGAGGAGGGCATGCGCCGTACTGCCCGCGACTTCGATTCGTTCGTCGCCAAGAATGTCACCACCGAGTGGGAAGCGCAGAAGCAGCGGATATTCGAGCACTTCGGGCTCGGAGGAAAGCCGTCGCCCACCGCGCAGAACGGCGATAACGGCGGATTCGGGCTGAGCGCTTTCGGTGCGTCGTCGTTCGGACGGTCAAGATTGAGCGGATCTGTGGGCCCCGCGAGTAACGGTGGAAACCTGGGTACCAACAGTGTCTGGGCGAAGTTGAATCTGGGACAGAGCGTACTGGGCAAGTCAGTCACGGCGAGACCAACAGAGCAGACCGCTTCGATGTATCAGGGAAGCTTGTTTGCCGATGTGGACTCGTCGACACAGGCGGAGCTCTCGAGACCGGTACAGTTGAGGCAGCAGAGATATTCCCAGGCAGTCAAGAATTTGAACCTCACACGGCTGAGCGCAACTCCGGGATCGGGGAGCTTCGCGATCATGAAGGAGTTTGGTGATCTCACAGCTGCCACGGGCGGCGATATGGTGAGTCCCGTACTGTACTTCTCTTCGCCTAAGACGGAATTATTAACACTTCGGGGTAGTTGACGCTACAGTTGCAAGATTCATGGAGCCTACTCAGTAACATCGTTTGCGAGGACGGCGGAGACAACCCTTTTGGAGGTGCACAAGAACGGCGGTTTGTACGAGATCACATCTTGAATACTGCAGTCGACGGACAGGAGGCAGGCCGGATCCGCAAGCGTGTTGAGAAGGGCTCCAGGCGATTTTTGGAGAAACAGTAAGCTCGGTATCTTCGATAGCTCCATGAGGCGTGGCGCTGACTAGGGAAATCAGGTTCAACCAAGTGGTCGATAAGGCGGTTTCCGACAACCCCCAGATCGCTAGAGTTGGAGGTGTGCCATCAGTGTTTAACAAGTTCCGTGGTTTCATCAATGTCAAGATGGCTCAGAATAAGGACAAGCCAGACTGGGACGTCAGATGTTTCCAATCCATCAACGAAGTGCCGTGCTGGGCGATGGTCTTCTACCTGATCCGTGCTGGTTTGCTCAAGGATGCAGACAGCTATGTTCAGCAGCATTTGGCGCAGTTCCAGAAGCTTGATCGGGGCTTTGCATCGTACTTGCACGCGTACGTAGCCCACGAAGACCGCCGCTTGTCCCGGCCGCTTCATGATCGTATCAACGGCGAGTACAACAACCGCATCCGTCATATGGAGGATTGCAAAGATCCCTTCAAGCCGGCAGTGTACAAGATCATTGGACGGTGTGAGCTCGCGAAGCGATCACTCCCCAACATCATGCCCACGGCTGAGGATTGGATGTGGCTACAGCTCGTTTTGACGAGGGAAATCGACCGGACGTCGGAGCCTGCCCACGAGGTCTTTACCCTGCACGATCTCCAGAAGAGTGTTTCGCAGTTCGGCGCAAAGCACTTCATGGCTAAGGGTAGTAACTTTGGCCTGTATTTCCAAATGTTGCTCATGTGCGGACTATTCGAGGATGTAAGGACTACTATTCCCCCCACTATAGGATTCCACTGACGGGTTAGGCTGTTCACTATCTGTACGGATTCCAGTTCGTCGACGGAGTACACTTTGCCATCGCCCTCACATATTACGGATTACTGAGGCCGTCTGACAATCCAATGACTCTGGAGCTGCTCACCCTGGGCGTAAATGGCGAAAAACGGATCAACTTCCCTCGGATGATTGGTTACTATACCTCCGATTTCCGCACCCCGGACACAGAGGCAGCAGTAGATTATCTCTCCCTTATATGTCTCAACGGTGATCTTCCCGACCCAGTCGGTCCTGCCCAGCTCAAGATCTGCCACGATGCTCTGCGGGAGCTCGTCCTCACAACCCGCGAGTTCACCAAACTGCTGGGCGACGTTCGTGCAGACGGAACTCGCGAGAAGGGGGCGATCGAGAAGCGGATGAAGCTCATCAAACTCTCGGACCAAGACCAATTCCTTCATACCATCACCGAACAGGCGGCCGTACAAGCGGACGACGACGGTCGGGCTGCAGATGCGGTGCTGCTGTACCATCTTGCCGAGGACTATGATACAGTCGTACAGATCCTCAACAAGTATCTGTCTAGTCACATCGCATTGGACGATGGCATCCCGTTCCAGGGCCTTCACGGGTCAAACGTTCCTCCTGGCTCCAGCATGTCGCTTGCCTCTGTTGATGATCCTACGCACTTGGCGATCAACATGCTCACAGTGTACAAGAACAACCACATCGCGCGTAAGATCAACCCGCGTAATCGCGAGGCCTGTGGTGTTCTACTGCAGATCTCGGAGGCCAAGAGGCAATACGAGATGGGCGAGTGGGCAGCATGTCTCTCGGTAAGTCCCCCATCCGCCTTCCTTTCCCTGGGGCACACACAGCTAACCAGCAGCAGATCATCGACCACGTGGACGTGATCCCGCTCGACCCCCGCGGCGACGTCGGCAACATCCGCCGCCGCGCACAGAACTTCGTCACGCTGCACGAAACGGTGGCGCGCAACGTCGGCATCCTCCTCAAGATGGCGGTCGACTGCTGCACGCGGCTGTGCCAGGAGCTGCGCGAGAGCGGATACACCGATGCCAACAAGGATCAGAAGCTCGGCGAACTCAGGGCTAGGATAAAATCCGCCATGATCTATGCCGGCATGATCCAGTACAAGCTGCCCGCCCATATCTATGCTTTCTTGAACAGCAGGGATGTCGGCGAGTAGTGGTGGTGGCACGGCACTGGTGGGGTGGGCTGTAGATGAAAATCTTCTTTTGGTGGTGGGTATTTGTGGGGATACGAGATTGGAATGCGCGATGGTGGAGTTAATGATGGCTATGAATCTTGCGGTCCTACTACTCCATACCTTGTGACATTTAAGTGTGCTTTTGGTCTTTGTGATTCATCGTTCCGTTGCATTTTGGTTTCCGTGGTCCGAGACAATTCAAACCTTGGGACAACATCCAGCAAGAACCAGAGCTGACCGGGCGTCTGGTAAATTGCGCGGGGCCAGCGTTTTTTTCTGTTTCGGCATTTTGCATTCGTCCATGTTCGACCACGACAGTTTTTGATTACAAAAGGCCGCTTTCTGCCCCACTGGTCACCGAGTGTTTCTCCTCTCCACTATCCACCGGCGTATCAACGATAAAACCAACGCAAAACCTAACACAGAAACAAATCACACATCCAAATACCAATACCGGACTCCCGAATAAGTATCCCAACGAATGATAGTACATGCCATAGGTCTACGGGCTGAGCATACTACTACAGAGAACTACTTTACAAACTCCCCTCCCGCTTGATAGCGATACATAGCAGACCACTCCTCGGCCCGCGGGGAGGGGATAACCATATATTTTACATAGGTGGAGGTAGGTGGAGGTAGGTAGTCGCCGAGTAGCATGATCTATCACTCTGGCCAGTAGCCATTTCCAAGGTGCCGTTTTTTTTTCCCCAGTGGCGTTTCGAACTACCAATCCAAGACTCAATACCGGTATGTATAAGCCAAGGCAGATATATAGGAAGAAAACTGGCAGAGCCACGAAGTCCTTGAGCATTGGCTTGGAAAATATCTGGCAGCTGCTATGTAGGTATTCTCGTTTGACGGTGCTGGCTGGGACATAGAATACTCTAACAACAACTTGTATCAACCCTATCCCCACCTCACCCACCTCACCCACCTCACCCACCGCCGCCTCACACGAAAAAAAAAGGAAAAAAAAGGAGAAAAAAGGATGTAATTTCAACCAAATGAACAGATAGACAGCACAGACAGACCAGACAGCACAGTACAGCAAAGACCCCATTCCAAACCCCGATCCCTCCCTCTACCAGGTGTCTCTTCCCTCTTTCCAACCATACTTTACCTTACGCCGTGAAAGCCGCATTGTTCCCTTCCAGAGCATAGTCTACCGTGATTCTCATGACTAGATTTCGCCAAAAACCGACCCGAAAAGGACACACACACGATTTCAGCGGGGGGACAGCACAACACACCAATTACCATCATCATCAATCAACGCTGCCGTAAGATTTCTACCGGGAACGACAAAGACCCAGACAAAGGTGCCATGCATTAGCAGCCTTCAGGCGGTGGCAGGGTGTGGGGAGGTGGGGGGGAGTAGGGCGGTTGGGGGGTAGGGAAAGGGAAAGGGAAAGGGAAAGGGAAAGGGAAAGGGAAAGGGCAGGAAAGATGGATGTAATATGTTTTGTCTGCGTACCTGTTAAGAACTCCTCAAAGCTGAGGGTGATGAAGCCATCCCTATCATCGTCGTACTTCTTGAAGACCTCCGTCATGCGTTTCAGCGAGATGCAGCTCTGCACAAACAGATCAAACGAGATGGCGTTCTGTCCTGTTATGCGTAAATCAACCAGATCAGCACCCATCTCAGCGCAACATAGTTGTCCCCCCCCCATTGGTGCAGAAAAAAGCCGTTCCCACCTTGCTGGGTTGGCTGCGGCGAGGAGTCCTGACCTCTTCGGTCGTATGACCTGAAAAGCAGCTGCACGAATTGCGGGGACAGCCGATATCCAAAAGCTGCGGGGCCGAGTGCCGTGGCGTCAGAAAGATTCCCGTCGAGGAGGAGGAAAGGTCAGTCATCTACCCGCAAGAGCGTTCGCAAACTCTTGGTACGAGATGTTACCACTCTTATCCGTGTCGAAGCGGTCAAAGAGCTGGCGCCACGCGGCAAGAAAGCCCCACAGTCCACTGGATATACGTCCATTAGCCCCCCAACGTCGACTACTTCACGAGAAATGATTCGGAAGTGGGGGCCACCAACCAGAACTCATTGAATCCGATGGTGCCCGAGCGATCGGTGTCGAACATCCTTCTCCGGAGTTAGGAATAGATCGATCCCCTCATGAAACCGGGATAAGCGTGTACCTGATCATCATGCGAACCGTATGCGGATCGAACGAGGTCCAATCACCGTTCACCAGGGCAGCGCGCAGCTCCTTTTCGCTCAGCTGTCCACTTCCTGCGGCGCCCATCAGACCCTCACTTCCTCGAGTCGAGCACCCGCACACGGGTGTACTACTAACCGTCCTTATCGACCGCCTTGAACAGCGGAAACAGAGCGGGGTCGGGACCGCCGGGCGGCGCCGGAGTAGGCGGCGGCCGGGAAACCGGCGGCGGTCGCTGTCCATATCCCTGCGGTGGAGGCGGACTGGCAAACGCGTTAGGCGGCGGCGGGCTGGCGAACTGATTGTGCGGGGGAGCTTGGCTGTATCCCGGGCTGGGACCGCGACCAGGTACGCCGCCGCCGCCGCCGCCGTACTGCTGCTGCTGTTGCTGCGGATGTTGCTGCTGCCCGTATCCTTGCTGGGGATGTTGCTGCTGGGGGTGCTGCTGTTGCTGCTGCTGGGGGTGTTGCTGCTGCCCGTAACCTCCCTGCTGATAATTGTGCGCTTGCTGCCCCTGCTGCTGCGGGCGTCCGGCTGGACGTTCTTGGAAGTCTGCCATCATTTGTGCTGCCTTGAGAGTGTTTCAGCAACAGGCGCGAATAGAATACGAAGTGTGCGTATATGTGAAGCGTGGGTGCGTCTGGAGGAGGAGGAGGAGTGCTATAACCAACCTGTTCAGGCTCCGCATGGCTGTGGAGAGAGAAGATAGAGACATCAGCACAGTGTCATAATTTCTTGGAGCTTCATCCATAGCGGACAGGAGGGCAGGGCAGGACAACAACTTACGCGGGCAGAGCGTCGGGATTCGAGTTGTAGTACGCCATCGGGGGAGCGAAAGAAGAATGCAATAGAGTACGTATCTATCTATCTATCTGTCGGTCCTACGTTTCCCTTTGTTAGCTTCCACGTGCGTCCAGGATACATAGATGCGACGCAACGGCGGGGGGCTGGACTGACGCGGACGAGTTGCGTATCGTACCTGCAATAATCTCTCACGAGCCCGCTTGCTATGTCTTGTCGATCGTCGCGAAGATCTGTTGTCGGAGGTGATGGTCAAGTTGGAGGAGATGAGGAGTAGTTGAGACGAGGTCGTATAAAGGTAGAGGTGGAGGAGGGGTGACGGCGGCAGCAGCAACCAAGCAAGCACAAGGTCGGGGGCTGCTT